GTGTGCTCTTCCGATCTCCCCAAAACCCCAAAACCCCTGAGGCATAATAATGATAAATTTGGAAAAGAAAAAAAAATAAATATATGATGATGTGATTTATATCTTTTATTAGGGAACCTTATTAATTAAAGATATCGATTTAATAAGACCATATGGTTGAAGCCAGTCACTCAGAAGATACTCAAAGAGCTCTTTCACTACTTAGAGAGAGTAACTAAGATTAAATCCTAGCTGAATTTGAAAAGAGAACAGCTGAAGAATAATAAGCATTTGTACAACAAGTACTCCACCTAGATAAGGTGACTCCAGGAGGCCTGACTGATTATGTGTTGAGAGCACGCAGATTCTTGGATGACTCCAAGAATAATGTCAATCCATTCGACAATTACAAGCCTGAAATTCCACACGGATTTGATCTTATTCCAGGCGAGCCACTATTCGAAGAGATGGAAGAATTAGGTTTACAAGAGCTTTCAAAGGTTGGATTCGTTCTTATTGCTGGAGGTCTTGGAGAGAGATTAGGATATTCAGGCATTAAGATTGATCTTCCAGTCACGACTGTTGAAGAAGATTACTTTTATCTTAAGTTCTACGTACAATATGTTAAGGCTTGCAGAGAGAGAGCTGTAGCCTTGATGGATCCCAGTCAAGATCTCAGTGATTTCCAAGTTCCACTTTGCATTATGGTCTCTGATGATACTTATGACAGAACTGTCAAACTACTTGAAAGTCACAACTACTTCGATCTGGACAGAGCACATCTAGATATCGTAAAGCAAGAAAACGTGCCAGCTCTTTTAGACAATGATGGAAAGATTGCCCTAGTAGATGGATAATTGAAAGCTATAACTAAGCCTCATGGACATGGTGATGTTCACACACTGCTTTATCAAAATCAAGTTGCTCAAAAATGGTTGAAGCAAGGAAAAGAATGGATGGTCTTTATTCAGGATACCAATGCACTCGCTCTCAAGACTATCCCATCAGTCCTAGGAGTCTCCAAGAAGAATAATTGGGAAATGAATTCAATAGCAGTACCTAGAAAGCCAGGTGAATCAATCGGCGCTATTTGCAGACTTATTGATCAAACTGATAACACTAAAGAGGTAGTAATCAATGTTGAATACAACTAACTCGACCCTCTACTCAAGGCAAAGTGGGAGAAAGGTGGTGATGTTGCTAGTGATAAAGGATTTTCTTATTTCCCAGGCAACACTAACACATTGGTATTCAAGTTAGCTGAGTATGTTGAAAATTTGGAAAAGACAAAGGGAGTGATTCCGGAGTTTGTGAACCCTAAATATGCTGATGAAGCAAGAACCACCTTCAAAGCTCCTACAAGACTTGAATGCATGATGCAAGACTATCCAAAGCTTTTGCAGAATAAGGGTGCTGTTGGATTTACAACCTATGAGACTTGGTACTGCTTCTCCCCAGTCAAGAATAATATTAAGGATGGGGCTGTGCTAAGTGCTAAGAACATGCCATCCTTTGCAGCATCTCAAGGCGAGCATGAATTCTTTTAATGGACCAATAAAATGCTTGAAAAGGTAGGAGTATAAATAGAATACAATACTGAGGCTGAAGATTATAATGGGATCAAGCTTGCTTTCGGACCAAAGATTCTGTTGGATCCTACTTTTGCCTTAACAATGAATGAGTTAAAGTAAAAGTTCTAGGGTGTTAATAGAATCTCTAAGAATTCAACTTTAATCCTTTCAGGCAAAGATGCATAAGTTTAGGATTTGACATTAGACGGATTCCTAAGAGTAGAAGGCTCAAATAAGGCTACTGGAGAAGTTACTAACACAGAAAGAGTTGAGTTAGAACATTCCACAGAAGCAGACTCAGAAGTCTACAGAATCAGAGGATTCAAGCCAAAGCACTTAACAAATTGAATGGAAATAAACTATTTATTAACTTATTTTTAAATTTATTAAGGCATGCAATGTGATTTCAATCAAAATAGATCCTCGGGGTTTTGGGGTTTTGGGGTTTTGGGGTTTTGGGG